TAAAAGTGGAGTATTAAATTCTTCAAATTTTTGTCACACTTTCTGTATTGAGCAGAACCTCATGCAGTTTATAATTAGGTCTGGGGAATTCTCCGATATTTTGCGCTACTGTCTGGTCAAAGATCCGGACCAGCGACCCACTGCCGCGGATGTTCTCCGGCATCCCTTTCTGGCCAAAGCGAAAAACAACGCCGGTGTACGGGCTTTGATTAGCGAGGCTAAGGCTGAAGTGGTGGAAGTTGAAGAGGTAAATTACACTGCGGTCATTTATCAGATGCAGCGACGCTGACATTGTTCGAAAGCTGTTGGCCTTTCTGCATACATATGCATAATGTAGTCGCCAGGTTATGAATTAGTTTAACGCGCACTTCTTTAAACAAGCAAGACTGGTGCTGTCCAAGCCGTCTGGTCTAGTTGAATGCTGGATTTGTTGTTCATATTCGATGATCTCTGAAATTTGTTGATAGTCGTTTTATTGCTGATAGGTGTTTTAGGAGCAAATTTGCGATGTGAAGCTTCATGCTATGAAGTGGAATTTTTTAATCCTTTGATTTAGAGTTTTTTTCATGTTTTTCAGCAAGTAATTCCTGATGACGTTAACCCGATTGACACGACAGCGGTGGATGGCGTTGTCCAGCCTACGGAAAGCATTGTGGCAAATGGACTGGCTATTGCGGAGGAACCGGATCAGCCGGTTATCGCCACGGCCACCTATGCCGTTGTGCTGAAAAAGAGCGACCGAGAACACCACAAGAAGCCCGCACCTCCTCGACCTACTGCGGAAGCGAAAACGCCGACGGAAACAAAAGTCTTCCCGGCAGAAAACATATACGAAGAAGTCGTGGAGAGGAAATCGCCAACAGAGAATACTGTGCTACCGTTGAACGTTGAGCCCCCACCAGCTGACCTGGTGGAAGAGATAGTTAGAACGTCGCCCGACGAAACTGTTACGGTAATGGTTAATCTGCTCATTTTCCTGTTTGTCGTGTTTGTTTATGGCCATATTTGTATAGCCCGTAAACGTCAGCCCGGTGAACGAAAATCAGTCTTCCTTATCCGATGTGGTTGCTACGTCTTCCTCAGTTGAACACGTGCCTTCTCCTCCCCTTCCCAGCAGTGAGACAATGGAGACGCACACTTTTGTTCGTGATGATGCGCCGGCGCAGGACATCGTATCGGTACAGTGCGTGTCGGTAGCCAGTGACGGCGTTGCTGACGAATTACCGGTGACCCGAGCGGAATCCGCTGCGTCGGATACTCTGCAGCAGGTTGTAGAGGCGGTCGTTCCCCAGGAGGAGCATGTCACCCAGGTGGTGATTGCGTATGATCGAGATAATACACCTGCAGCAATAGTGGTCACTGGACATCGGCCAGCGGAAGAGGTTAGTCGCGCTTATTTTTTTTAAAGACGGAATTCACTTTAATGTTTAAATTTATATGGACTATTTCAGTTTATTTTTCTTAAGTAATTATTTTACTTTAGTTATTCACTACCGTATTTTGGAATTGAAGAGGCATCTTACGTTTTAACTTGTATGTTGAACGTTTTCCTTGTATTTTGAAGAGCGAAAACTAGTATAACCTATTTCGTTCTTAAAGTCTTTATTATCTGGATCCGAGATTATTCATACAAGGGTTTAGTCATGAAACTTGGGAAAATCAGATTTGTATTATTGTGCATTAATAGAATCTTTATCATGGCCTATCTGTATTGCGCTGCTTTCCGAGGATAATCATCGAAGTAATGAGGGTTAGGTACCCTGTATGTGCTCATAATAAAAGCACGTAGTGCGAACTGTAAAGTACATTCTCATGTGTACGGCTTACGTTGACGATAGTCTTTGTTTGCTTTTCAGATGAACGGTTGGCTACATCCGGAAGATGAGCCGGAACTAGTTGAGTTGTCTCGACCAGGAGAGTTACTTACGGAGCAGATGGCGCGGCACAACGAACACACCGGTGATCATCCCGATGAACTGATTCGAAATATGGACTCCGTTGAACCTCCCGTGATCACTCCGGATGATGTGGAGGTGGCATTTACGAAAACCGAATCGGCTGGGACTTCGCCTGTTGTATTTAAGAGAGTAAGCACATTTCTTGCAGACGTACTCGAAAGAAATATGGCCGCCGGTGTCGAATTCATGAACGCTGATTCATACAGAGGTAGCCAATATGACTAATAGTGGTAATCTTCAGAAGTTGAGACGAATATAACATGATTAACAAATGGAGAATTACAACAAAATTTCTTCTAATTTATCCATGTGTGATACCATTTATCCGTGAATGCAACGGGAAATTCAAGATAAAGTAGATTAATTATTTCGTACGATAGAAAAATAGAAAGTAAACTAAAATAGTTCATAATCTGCTGAAAGATCCTTTTTTTTCGATCGGGGATCCCTTTTGATTAGCAGTCAGAGCAGGACATATATTTCTCTTCACAATCAGTGCGCCTGATTGATCACGTTTATAGTGAAAACTTCTGTTTCTGTGTCATTTAGTACGGTAGAACTGCGTTGATAAAAGTGTGTAATATTGTAATTACTTTTCTTAATCACGCGTTTCCTTTCATTCGTTATGTTGATGGTAATTTCTAACACATTTTCGGACAGAAAGTGAATAGCAGGCGGTCCCACTCGGTTTGTTTGCTTTTGTGGCCGTTCTAATGCGGCTATCGTACGCTTTACTCGCGCTGCTCTTGTCAAAATCCGTTCGCAGTTTTACCATATCTCTTATCAAATATGAAAGAATCTTTATAACCGTTTTTACTAATATTTGAGAAAGTCGGCTGATAATTTTTATTGGAAAAGGAATAACAGTTAATTTTTATTGGAAAAGGAATAACAGTTCTACGCTCTGCACTGTTTCTTGCGTTATGACGGTTCAAGTACCTGTTTATGGGTGAGTGTTGACGGTAAGAGAGAGAATGAAGAGAGAAAGAGAGAGATTGGTAATGGTTGAATTAACTCGGTCAGGTGGACAATTATGTAGCCGCCATGTGAAATGTATTACGGGTACGTAATGATAGTGCCGCACATTTTGCAGCCGATCAGTCCTGCAGAACCGGCTGGTGTGATTCGCGGGGAAAGTGGTGATGCTGCGGTAGAGCAGCAGCAACAGTCGCCGCCGTTGACGCGAGCCGATCAGTGTGTTGAGCATGTGGATGTTGTGGTGATGGACAAGAGTTCAGCATCGTCTCCCATTGTTAATGGAGCCTTCGTCCAGCCGACACTCCGCGCTGGGGTGATTCGGCGGGAGAATCGGCCCTCGCCGTCTTCCAGTAATGCCAGCAGCGAGCGTGGACACAGTCTGAATATTTCAGACCGGGAAACGGTGTCGGTAGTCAGCTCATCACCGGTGCCGTTTGATGATGGACAGTCGTCACAGGTACGTCATGATGCCAAGTTAAGCCTTTATTCCAAATTAGGTTTTTTTTAAATCTTCAAATTTTTTTACATTCGTTTGACATAGTCAGTTTAGTGTGGCATCAGATCCCGTCGCAAGTGATATGACTTCTTTATCTGTGTTATCAAAGTGCTCTGGAATAATATCGAACTGAACGGTAATATTAGCGTGGTACGTGGTCACCATGTCATTTTATCGAAAGCATTGTTTCACCGTTTATGCAATATTGCGGTTTCTGATCAATATTTGCAACGCTCGGTTGGTTTTTCTAATGCAGTGGCAGTTTATCTTGATCCGCGTGGGTGTTAATAATTTTGTTCGCTTTAAGCGTTGGTCTGATTCGAAACTAGAGCATAATTTCTCATAAATGTCGCGTTAATAACTTAATGCCGATGAATGCCGCATTAAGACGGCTGTCATTTTGTTTCATTGATAATATTGTTCAGGATTGTGATCTATTTGAAAGCGGTAATTGTTTCTGCAAAAGTTGAGTGACAATCTTGAAGATTAAGAATTAATTACGGCAAAACAGAGTACTGTTGTAAGTACATCTCCTGTGCAGTGAAACATTTGAAAAATCACTGCTGCAGGATAACATCAACTATGTGGATCCGAGTGAGACGAGCAGTGTAGCCACGGAGGACAGTTTTAGTGATAAGGAGAACAAAGCGCGCAAGGTTGTCAATGAGCCGGCTGTTGTTATGCGGCGGAAACGGCAGGGCGAAGCCAGCGCGGAGAATCAGCGTCAGCGGCGCACACTCAAGAAGACCCGTAAATTCGTCATTGATGGCGTCGTGGTTACGACAACGTCCACCAAAGTGATTGATCCCAATGAGGAAAACCGCCATAAAGAAGATCTGCAACTACGGTAAGTTCCGCGACAAGTATCAGTTGACATTAATCCTATTTTCCTTGTTAAGATTTTCATAAAAATAAGTAGTTATTAGAGGCAGGTTGTGATTGGAATGCTTGTCTATATCACAGGAAAGAAGAATTACGCGAATTGAAATTATTACAAAAGCAAGAAATGAAGGCTTTCCAAGATTTGGCCACGAAGGCACAAAATACCAAAGAACAGCAGGAGAGACGCTTTGAGGCTGATATTCAGGTACGATAATGAATTCTTTCGTTATTTTTCAAAGGCTTAAATTTATTCTACCTACGAATGCTTTTTTCTTTTTATGAACGGTGGTATTTCTTTATTTCTTTGTGAAATGTCTCTTGTCTTGGCTTTTGTTTAAAAATTTACTCATTGCGTTTTCCTCTGCATTAGTAACTACAGTAGAAATATATTTTTTAAATTGATTAAGCGGGATATTGTAACTGAAGGTTGCGTTAATGGTGTGAAAGTTTTGTCGCCTCGATATGAACTACCGGTAACCGTGAAATCGGTGGCGCTTTATTGTCCACTAATTAGTAGCTGCACCGTTGCAGGTATTGATTCGTAATTACGAGAACGACCTCGACCAACTTCTGAAGCAACAAAAGCAGCGATTGGAACGTGAAGAACAACTGCAGGACGCTGATCTACGAGCGGCAACAAAAAAACTCAGCGCTGATCATGTCAGTAGCACTTCTCGATTATTTGATAATCGTTTGGCTAATCATACTATGCATATGACAAATATTTTGTAACTAATGTACATCTTGTGAATTTAGGAAAAGGAGCTCAAAGCGTTCAGAGAAGCACTAAAACAAGAGCAAAAGCTACTGAAACACGAGTGCGAAGTGAATATAGCGAAAGCTGAACGGAAAGAAGTTTATAAAGCGCGAAAAGAGAAGCTTGATCAGGAGCAGACGGCCAAGGTCAGTACTACCATGTTTTCATAATATTATCCTGGTTCACAACGAGTTTGCCGGCTTTGAATATATTGCGGTGTTTCCTTTTTTTGTTACGTACAAGTTGAGCTAAAGCTTGTGTGCTGGACTTTAACCGTTTAGTATGCTCGTATTTCATTTTCTGGATGGGCGTGCATATTAATTTGCGACGCACTTTTATCGAACTGTTGTTCTTTTGGATCAGATTTGTTTCACCAAGGAGTTTTTAAGATGCTGTTAATTTATGTCACTGTACTACTTCGTAATTATAAATTTGGTTTATTAACACTCTGCTTGAACAGAATATAAATTACTGTAGTTGTATGATTTGTCGGAGCGCAGTGACTTGCTCTGATATCATTTGGTAGTTGATCTGTAGTCAAAGTTTGGTAAGCTCTGCATTTGGTCTTGCGGTTAATGAATTTCTGATTTTTTTGTGTTTAGTGGGTGTTAACCGATATTTCCCGATGTTAGTGACGGCAAATTGGGCAAAATTTACCTGGGTTTCATTTCAGGAAGAGCATTTTATATCATCGCTGAATGACGCCATGACGCATATGATTGGACGCATGAAGGAACAGTATCATGAGAAGATTGCCATGATGGAGAAACAGTTTTTGCAGCAAAAGCAGCAGCTAATACGTTCTCGGGAAGCTGACATCTGGGAGCGCGAGGAGCGTCATTACATGGAACGGCATCAGTTGGCCAAACGCCAGATGAAGGATATATTCTTCCTTCAGCGTTGTCAGGTGAGTGATCCCGGCATCTTTTTATTTTTGTAAACTTATAACTGCGAATTAATATGACCATTATGTTCTGTGTAGATGCTGCTGCGGTTTGAGAAAGAGCGGGACCAAATTAAAAGGATCAATGAAATGCGCGAACAAGAACTGGTTAAACAATTGACGGCTGAAAAGAAGTTGCTGCCGAAGCGGATTCGAAATGAGATGAAGACGAGGGAACTCATGTACAGGGAAAGCTTACGCATAACGCACATATCGGCTGATCAGGAGAAGGAGAAAGTCCGATGGGTAAGCGCGCCTTTACATCTTTTTTAATTATTAAAATAATTTTATTTTCGCGATAAATTTTCCGCGATGTATCTTAATCCGGTCCTTCGCTTTTTTCATATGTTTTTGCGTTCTTATAATAGCTTTAACTTTTGATATTTGCGGCCCTTGCGTTAGTGAGTTTATGATTTTGCTAAATTTTTGACTTACTAATTTACTTCGCCGGTTGATAATCACGGAGCAGCTGACCACTGAAACAGTCTGAATGTATTGGTTAGGTACTGCATTTCCTGTTAATTATTACTGAGTTATTTCTACCACGACTAACTGGTAAAAATGGCATGACTATTATTTTATATCAGGCTTTTTTTATTTTATTTTTTTTATTGGTTACAGTTAGCTGGTAATAAGTAGATAATACTTCTTGGAAAATCGATTAATATGGTATTTTTTGACACCTTTATTCAGTTCAGTGTATGCCATACCATACGAAACAACCGTTCTCTAGCTGTGACTATTATTTTTTCTGGAAATAATTACTCGTTGTTACGTATGTACTTGTTTTTCACCGTGTTGCAAAAACTTAAACACTGGTTCATGGCATTGTAGTTTCAAGAGCAAGAAAAGAAGCGCTACAAAGCGGAACAAGTACGGCAAGAGCAGAAGCATTCCAACCGCGTTGAAGAGCTGCGCGCGGCTGCCGAAGCGAATCTGCGGGAATTAGAACAGATCCAAGTACGTTGCTGTCGTTAATGTTCGGTGTTCCATTGTCGGTAGCGCATCACGCCGTTGACGGTCATGATTTGATTCTTTTGCGTGGTTGTTGAGCAGAACGAAAAACGGAAAGTCCTCATGGATACAGAAAATGTTAAACTGAGGGCGCTCGAAGTGGACCATTCCGAGAGCCTGCAACGGTGGAAAAATGATTTAATACTCCGGAAACAGGTGAGCGCAGGCTGTATTTTTTTAAACTAGTTTTCATTATTCTATACTCGTAGTAAAAGTTTTGGACATTTTTTTAAATATAATTTTACATTCGTTATATTTTATATGCTTGCAATATTTTGCTTACGTTTTTTAATAATCATTGGTTGTCGGCCAAAGCTCAGTTTAACGTATGTGGTTGTAATGAATCGTATTTATGATTTAACTGTGAACGAATATCCATACTCGGTGTACAGATTGAAAGCTGTCCTTTTAAATCCGGAAAAAAAGTAACTCACTAAGAAAATAACTAAGTAGAAAAACTGAATGACTACTTTATTAACCATTTTTTATCTGTCTAAGTTACTGCTTTGATTGAGGTCCAAAGACATATAAGTTTAACTGGCGATTTGATTTTGGGCAGTAATCTGCTCAGCAGCAGTTTTTTATTGGCAGCGATTTTGCTGGTGTGCGAGCGTCTGATTAAAATGCGTCTGATTTCTGTAGAAACTAGAAGAAGACTTCGTAAAGCAAGCGGAAGAGCGTGAGCGCTTCTACAGCACGACCTTCCTGCGCAACGGCGACGGTGATTATGGTAATTCTCCTACTGAAAGCTCAACGGATGTCGACTCAGCCGAGATATCGTCCTCGTATTCCCGTTCAAGTAGAACGTGATCCATGGAGGACGCAAACGATTTTCCCCGTGACATGGCAGGATTTCCTTGTTTGATCGCGACACATGGTAGCTGTCGGTGTTTTTTTATCTTTTTTATTCTTCTGGTGGTATTAATGTTGTCCACTGCGTTTCTGGCAATATTTGGTTAAATCATTTTAGGCACGCATTCCCATGCGGTGTCTTTGCTGTCTTCCGGCCGCGCATGCTGCATGTTGTGCTTCTTTAATGTGTAGATATACAGTACCTAGGCGGACGTTTTTACAAGATGATTTAACGGGCGTTTGTGTGGAGTGGTTTCCTTATTGTTGTTTTTGCTGGTGCGCGTTAATTCTGGTGATAAAGTGCATTCATTGGTGGAGACAGGCTACTTGATACGATTCAGAAACAGACTCATTCTAAAACTTGTATACGGATTATGTACTCGCACACAGCAAAAAGAAATTGAAAATGGAAATGACGCGCCTGGTCGCTTTGGAGCACAGTCATACTAATAGATTAACTTTAAAAGCTAAATTAAAAACCAAGCAATTCAGCACTTAAAATGAGATCAGAAAAGTGATCGGCTCAAAAAGAGGCCAATAATTTCAGGGGCGTACGCTAAGCAATTCTGAGTGATTTAAGAAAAGTGATTAAACAGTTTCCCAGATAAACTTTTTAATCGCTCGAATTTTTAATCGGTCTGATGCCAACCAAAAAACCAATTGTCAAAATTCGCGAATTTCTTTAATAAAAAGTTTGTTATCGTTAATTACAAGGTAGTGACTAAAAACATTAAACAGGAGGTGGCTTGAAATCGGCCAATAGCAGCGTTTTGAGTCTCTTTTTATATTGCTTTTGGTGCTAAGCCAGCTTGCTGTAAAAAGTCGCTTTTTTGGTATTTCTAATTTGTTAGATTTTCTGTAACTCTACAAAGCACGAAACTTCAAATTTGAACATTATTGTCCTTTTATCTAGATCTTTTATCTAGAAAATGGTGAGAGCCGAGCTGGGTACGATTACCAAGCACAACCTGAAGATGGTGAAGCGCTTGAACCAGGTGATTTTTCCGGTTTCCTACAATGATCAGTTCTACAATGATCTTCTGAAAGCCGGTGATTTGGCCAAAATAGCCTTCTTTAATGATCTGGCGGTGGGCGCCGTGTGTTGTCGCGTGGATATCTCGCCTCCACCGAATACCACAGCAGCGCCCGATGCTGCAGCAGCACCCAATGGTACCTCCAGTTCCTCGCAAAATCCACCTCAGCCCGTCGTATTGGCGCCTGGACGGCGTTTGTACATCATGACTTTGGGTAAGGCCGGATTTTTTGTTATGAAAGAACTTAATTAAGCAGTCAGAATTTCCGTAGTTGAAGAACTGGAAAGCGAGTAACTGTAAGACCTAAAGTTTGCAGTATGCTGGGGTTAGGCTGCTTAGCTCAGTTGGGTTTCTTCGTTTTTCTTTAAAACGTGACTAAGTTTATTCCATTCCTGAATTTTCTTTGTGCGGAATTACTAAATGTGCAATACATATCTTAAATTTGTTGATTTTAGTAGTTTAGTTGTATTTTTTCGGATAGAAAATTCGGTATTTGGGCCTTTGCTGATTTACTGTTGATTTTCCGTTTCAGTTTGTCAGGTTCAGGATTTCGATTGAGTTGTTGCTATCTCATGTCTCTATTTAATTAGCGTGTTCAGCTAGACATCCTCGCTATCTACAGTAGTTCAGCACTTAGCTAGCTAGAAATTCCGCAAGAAACGAACTGCATAATTTGGGGGCTATGTGTGAGGTTTAAGGGCAAAGTTTCAAACGAAGTTATAAGCTTAAATTGCTGCTTAATTTTTTGAATTAACAGCTATGTTATTTACAATTTTGATTGCGTGCAAGTTCATACGATTATAGGCTGTAAATTAAAAGCAAATGTTGGCGCTTAAAGTGATAGCCACTGCACTACAATTGTTGTCGAAATGTCAGATTTGATAATTTCAGTACGTCAAAATACAGCCCTGCTGCACCGCACGTGGGCAGTTGCGTAAAATAAATTTAAAAATAATTCTGTGCGCCGTTTATTTTTTTCTTTACACTTTTCTGGTGTAACTTTTTGTTGCGGATTCCGAGATACTAAAACAGATCTTTTGAAGTGTCAGTAGCGAGCCAAGTCGTGTTTAAGGGATGGGGGGTAGCGGTCATTTTAGAGATGCTTACTTATACTAGCCTCCCTAGCAATTTCAGTAACCGATTTTTTTGAGTGGACCTTTTCGTAAATTATTGACATGCCCAAAAGGTATCCGTTACTGGTTAACAAAAGTATCTTGCGCGATCAGTGCTCGAGATGACCGCAAAACAAGATCTGTGTCCCGTAGACTTGTATGGTAACTGGTAAGCGGTACCTTCCGAAGAATGTGCATGCCTAGAGAACTAACACTTGTAGAGACGATGTTAAGGATTAAACGGAAGTTGGGAAGGGTCCGTTAAAAAACTACGTTGTCATTTGCTCGCTTTTATTCGCCTACAATTTTTAGAGTATTATTAATCTAGCATTGTTATTTCGTGATAAGCAACCTGATTTTTTCGAAAAACGTTGAAGTAAAACTTTTGCTCTCAACCCCTGCTCTTTCGTTTTGCATAGAAGCATACTTTAGAAAGTTGCTATAGACCTAGGACTATCATGCAAAAATGAAGTAAAAATGGTAGACTTCAACATTCGAAATTAAGGAAATTTTGTTACTGCCCGCGTGTGGCGGAGCAGGGCTGTAACTATAAAATTATAATTTAATACAGAAGAATAATTACACGAATACGACTGTGTCAATATCTGACGTGCACCAGCTAGGCCAAATACAGTACCGTACATAAGAGGATGTGGTTTGTTTTTTACGCAGCTGTGGTAATAAGTGCAGCTTTATATATACGTACAATGTGCCGTACCTATTATTATATTTAGCTATTAATCGATTTGTGTTTCAAACAGGATGTTTGGCTCCTTACCGGCGGCAAAAAATCGGCACCCTCCTTTTGCAGCACGTGTTGGCGGTGTGCGCCCGCGAAGGATTCTCCTCGGTGACGCTCCACGTGCAGATCAACAACGATGCCGCCCTGCAGTTTTACAAGAAATTCGGCTTCGAAGTGGTGGGCATTTCGGAGCACTACTACAAACGGATTGAGCCGGCCGATGCGTATTTGCTCGAAAAGAAACTCGGCACTCCGTCCGTCAATGGCCACGCGGGTAAAGCGCACGATTAGATTGTGGCGCTGGCGATAATACGCGCTCGTGCTCCAAAGACGGATTAGATTTTGTATGTTTCTTTACTAATTAGTTCGGTTCGTTTGTTCTTGCGGAATATCCAGTCAGAATGATTGTGAGAGATTTGATGGGAAAATGAGCCAGTATAGCTGATCTTGTTAAGACATGACTTTGAGAGAAATTTTGGTTTTGCGCACGAGAGATTTCTTTCAAGTAAAACAAACAGACGAACTGCTGGCTTAAGATTTTTACTGCAGTGGATTACTGTAAATCCAAGAAACTTTTCCCATAACGGAAACAACTGACATACTGCTCACCACTTCCATTACGGCTTCCTCAACGTGGGAATCGTTTCTTTCATTCCCGAAATCAAACGTAATTTCTGCGAATCTTTGCAGTTAGTTTTGATAATTTATAAGGAAATAGTCATGATTATTAATGATTATAAAATAATTACTGTTAGTAGACCCCGCGGAAATTGGGCGGAAATAAACCACAAAAAATTACCATACTGTATTTAGGTGCGTGATGTAAGGATTTAAAGATTCGACTTTGAAGATGAATATAACACATGAATTTTGATTAAATGTTATACTCCTACTGTTAAAATTGAACTGTCAGTAGTAAGTAATAAGTATTGTACGTTCACACTTCATATGTACAGTACAGTTGAATACCATAATAATATCATTAATTTTATTGGATATTGTACACTCCAAGCATCTGGACTAAATGCTGCCCGGCTGGCACAAAGCTGCACTACGGGATAGCACCGAATCACCGATCCTACATTATCGTATATTGTGCAGAAGAAAACAACCATAAAATTATAAAGTCAACCATACCGCAGAATTTTATTGTTATGCCAAAAACGTGTGCTTTGAATGCCTTTGGTATTACTATTGTTAGCGTTAAAATTCAGTTTTCGATAAACTTACAACTCCCTGTCAGCTTTCAGCCCGTAATTACATTCGTCACAGCTACCGAAAAACGTACATGGTTTTCATTGCATTAATTTGCCTGCTGCTGTTTATTACGAAATTAATTACTCAGTCAGCACTGAATTAAGTGCTGAACTTTGAATTTTAACTATTAATCCTTGAGCGCAAGTGTATACTAGCTAGATACTGTATCTTGATTAATCAATAATTTTTCGTCCATGCCGGACACTGAAAAATTATTACACACGTACAGCTTAAGTAGTTATTTTTTTTAATTTTACGTCGTGTAATAACGTAAAACGCATTTGTTTTCTCAAATCAAATGATTTTATAGAGATAGACCGAATCGGAATAGTACGTAGACCTTAAAGTGATCCAGTCATTTCCAGTCTAATGAGTATACCGTTTGGGATGGATGCGCAGACACGATGCCCACACCTCCTCTTATTTCTTTTATAATAAAGGATAGCCCTGTAAATCCAGTTAAACTCCAAAATAAGTCAAAATCAACAATTTGTACGCAAAGCAGTTCCGGTATAGAGCTGCATTTATGTACTGTAAATATGCAAACTGCAACCGCGCATAGCAGGTAATCAACCGAGAAGAAATCTATCGTAAAAATGTGGCTGCAAAAATAATTCAGTTATCTTAAACGTGAGCGTATCCCTACATTTATCGGTAATCCATCTTTCAGAATATCCAGCGAAGCAGTGATCTATTAATTTCAATTAACTTCGATCACTGCGAAGCCATAAATCCATGTAATGAGCTACATATATAACATTCAGCAGTGCACGACTTATATCCGCTCGGCGAGCGTCCAATATCCTTTGGCTTTAACCGTCTTTGACACTTCCGGTGGTGTGCTCCGTCAAGGTACGTGGTCGTGGACTGGCCGCTAGGCGAGTTGACTTTGATCTCGTTTCGGTAAAGTTGTGCGGAAAATCCGTCGGGGCAATTATCACCGGGCCAACCGACGCCCGCTTTGTGGGCCACAATCGCAGGCGCTTTAATAGACTGCGTATAGCGTAGCGTAAATCGGGATTAACTGGGAGATAGGCCAAATAGCTGCACGTAACTCCTAAAATGGAAAAATTTGCTTGACGCCTTAGCAGTCGGCAAGCCCCGTATGTACAGGTAAGACGCCTGAAATTATAAGGCACGATCTTTTAACTATTGTATTAAGTTATTAACCATATAGCTCCAGTGCACGTTATTTATAGACCTACAGCACGTGTTCGTGCACGAAGAACTTGTTCGTTGCACTTACCGTTAAAAATACAAGTTATTAATTCTTTCATTATAAATTATAGTTTAAATTGAACGCTTTCGTACCATTTCCTAAATTATGTGGTCAGACTCATGGGAGCGTTAAGTTCGGTAAAGCTAGCTAATTTGATATGAAGGTGGAGCTGTTATAATCCTGTTTTCCGCAGTCAATAACATTCATTCTGCCCTGTACGAGTAAACTTAATCTCACCCATACAGCTAAATATCTGCGCAAATACGTAATCCAAATCCACAAGAAAATGAGCGATTAGCTGACCCTTTTGAGAAAATAATAAAATGCACGATGAAAACAGTCAATATCGTTTTGACATTCTTGTTTTATTCAACAGTTTTAAAAGTCAACTCCCTTAACGAAAAGCGGCATGGTTCTTGAGCCCGTTGTTGACAATTTGTTTCTGTTGTCCGCTACTATCCGGCGGCTGCCACGTGCCGCAATAGCAGTCCCATGATGTTTTGCATGTATGTCTATATCTATTGTTTCTCTGACCGCCTCGATAATCCGGATTAAACTCGACCTGCGCCAACTTCTTCAGCATCCCGTAAGCTTCCCTTTTTGCTTTTATCTTCTTATGTCCGCCTACGCGCGCTAATGCATTCCGTGGTTATCTAACTGTGATCTACCTAGATCTATCACCTGACATATCGTGCATATATTATTTTCAATTTATTGAAGTATTTTACGCATTCACATACTGTACTGTTAAAAATATTGATTAGTACAATCTTACTGTAATAATATAGTAGTAATGAAGTTTAGTGACTGATAGTCTGATACGCAAAACTTTTAATGCGTATTCGGTTATTGCATCTTGCCGGCCGGCAACAGTAACGGCAGCCCGAGTACACCGCAGAAAATTGCTCCAGAAACTGTCAAACCAATCGAGCATACGGAGTCGACCTGGAGCAATCCGGCAGCAATAGCGCTTAGATGGCGCTTCCAGAAGTAATAACCAGTTAAAAAGTTTTTTTTACCAGGTTTAGTCACTGTATTGTTTTACCACTTTGGTTTAATACTCTGTTTACTATTGCTAACTCGCACAAACTCCCACAACTCGCACACCGAACTCGCACAAACCAACTCTAGTTTACTCCTGCTGATGACGTACTGCGCTCGCTTAGCTGTCGATGTATGTTATTGTTATGCCCTTTTCCAGTTGCTAGATTGAATTGTATTCAGTCTTTAACGAAACAACTTTAACTTCACTTTAACTTAAAATCTTTAGTTAACAAGTAAAGACTGAATACAGTTCATGGTGTTACATTGGTGTAATACTTATACAACTGCTGAGTAGGCGATGGCGACGGTAAGGTCATCAGCAAAGTTTTGCTCTTGCAGTATCAGTGGTAAACTGTCTACATATGCAGTAGCGGTACTGTACTGTACAATACACATAATATATATAGATATTCATCATAACGCATGCATGTATCCGGTATCTTACGATTAAAATGCAATGAGTACAATACAGTGCGAGTATGTAGTACTGTACAATACTTCCAGACGTGGACATTATTCATGTTAGCAACGCAGTTTCGTTGCGCTGCAGGCGGTTGGAGGCGGATGCTGCTTTTTCTGGAGGATCTTTTGTGACATTGTAGGAGTAGACTAGGGAAGGGTTGTTAAAAAGGCAAGTTATTGATTTCCATACATTTTATCGCTTTGGCATAATCAGTGCGAATCACGCTTCAGTGTGAATATGTTGCTGAATTAAGTGCAGCTACAGTATTTCCCATTATTTATTATTTCTGTACTTTACCACCAGAAGTAACAGCGATCCCTTCGATTATTTTTCAAGCTGGTTCCTAGCTACTTTCTCTGGCAGTGCAACAGCATGTTCAAGTACAGTACTCGTACTAGAAGGAAGGCAACGTTCCACTTAATTATAACGTGCGGTTGTTGTGACCAAAATTTATAACAGTTTAGCAATAACGTATTGGAAGGAATTTGAAAAGGATCAGAAAATGGATATTTCTGCGCAGGGTAATAAATGCTATACATATATTTAGACCAAAATTCATTACTGTAATGGTGAAGAGTGATTATATGATTTTCAGGTAGCTGCTAATTACGTAGTTTCCTTACCGAATAAAGATTCTTTTGAGCCGACCATGAATTGTAAAGAAGATAACGTAGGTACACGGGATGAGAAAGGATAATATTATATTAATAGAAAGTTGGTTAACAGTTAATTTTCGTGAGTGACCTCAGCTACTGTGCAAAATACTGCGCAAGTTTCATAGAAAAATACAATAAGTACTTCGTTATAGCTTGTTCTGCGCTTTAACATTTGAAGTTCAAACGTGTATAATCCGACCTATTAAGGTCTCACGTACCGGTAGCTACACTTACCGAACCACATGAGCAGATATAGTGACGGTGCCAGATTCTCCGTCAGGTCCTGGACAATGCTACCGGGTATGTAGCTCCATACTACGCTGGGCAGAAAACAGACGATGAAAAACACCGCTACCGTTCCCGTTCGCTTGGCGATACCCAACTCCACACTGAACCGGTGCTTGAAGCGCAACGAGGTGTCCTTCTGCTTATTCCGCCCCACCGCTGTCCGCACCAGACACACTTTGAAGACAATGAGCGTATAGCAGATACACATGACCACAATGGGGGCAATCTGAAAGATGAACCGGTAGGCGTTGACGAAGGGCGCTTCCACACTGCTGTACTGACACCGCTCCACCGACTTCTTGTATCCGTACATGGCGCCCACACCGAAGAAGGGAAAGGTGAACACGACGTACGGCATCAGCCAGGTCAGCACCAGCATCACCAGCCCCACCCGGTCCTGGATGCGCTTGGAGATGCTGCCAATATGGACGACGGCCAAGTAGCGGGCCACGGCGATGGCGGCGTGGTTGAGGCAGGAGACGAAGCAGCCGCTCAACGCCATGAAGCCGAAGAACCGGCAGCTGCCGTTATCGGCGTGCCAACCCAGTCGAATGGTGGAGTAGGCCGCTGCCGGCATGGCTAGGGCGGCGTAGATGGCACCGACTAGGAATAAATTGATCAGCAGCTGGTTGGTCGTATGCCGGTACAGTTTCCCGTGGAACATGGAGCCTATCATCAGGACATTGCCTACGAAGCCAAAAACCACCAGACCGATGGTGCAGTAGCCGAAGACGGCGAAGGCTAACGGCATTTTGTGACCCCCGGTACCGTTGAACCGGCCACCGGTAATGTTGCGCGAAAGGTCACCGGTAATGTTGCGCAGCGATGCAGTGGTGTTGGGAATGAATAACGGTGCCATTTGAGCGGTTACGTTAGCGTTGCGATGCGATGCGATGCGTTGAGCAGATAACTTATACCGTAGAATATGACACCACGAAGCAAGACGGTCTAGCTGGGAAATATACGTGGATGCTTAAGATTAACGATGATCCCATGAAGTAACTGCGAAGAATCTATTGGCGTTGACTGGCTGATAATCGCGCCTTAAATGGGGCTTCCGCCGTCGACTGTACCCGGCTGATTCCACAAGCGTGACGACAGGTGACCCGTGGTGCGTCGATCGCAACGGGCGGCATCATTAACGCCAGGCAATGGGGCGGATGAAAAACTGTGAAACCTTTACGCGAAACAATGGATGCGAGAGGAAAATATACGCCGGTGCCATTCGATAGCGCTTGTTATAAGATGTTGGAGATTTTCAGTTCGCGGTATGATATTGTAAGATGCCGCTATAAGAAGGATGCTCCCTTAATGACGTGTGCCGTATTGTGGAAAATGTATCTTGCCTTAAAGATGATCGCTAATCAGTTTAATGATTCTTTTAAATAAATGGCACGTGAAGCTAAAATATATTTTTCTTGGATTTAACTATGTACACAGGAAGAGCGAGAAACTATTTATGTTTTTGAATAACTAGGAATGTTATGATTTCTAAACGAATTAAGCCCTCATAGCCATGGCCTTAAAGGATCTACCAGTGTACCTGAAACTACAAAAGACAGCCACTGCATATATACTGTACATATATAATGCATGCATCCACTGAATATGCAATTTATTCACAGGCAGGAAATGCATTTGCCGTATTACTATTTAGATACATACATCTACAATATATGCAGATTACGATAGTCTTGATGAATGCTTAAACATAATCGTGTGTGACATAAAAAAGGTTGAAATTTCGCAGGGTATCTGCATTACGAGAGCTAGACAGGACGTTTAAGATTTATCTTGATTTTTTCTACGGTCTCACAAAAATATAATCGGATTATCCATATATCATTGGCAAAAAATGCGCCGAAACCACCGGCAGACATTTCCGTTTGCGTGCTACAGCCATTTCCGTCTGTGCAAGTTGCGTAATTGTGGGCGGCTGTGGCATTATGAGAACCCCTGGAGTGCGCAAAACCTTGACCTATGATCGTCCGAATGGTAGGACTATCAAATAACAAGGATCGCTCGGGTTGTGAATCATCTTCCTTCGAGACGGAAAATTCGGCAACAAATTGTTTCCTGACTGTTTATTAATTAAAACCAGCAGTAAATATTGGCGCTTATGTTTGAAATATAGAACAAAATCGTACCAATCTATCTTCAGTAACCAATATGTATTTCCAGCTAGCAAGACCATAAGTTAAAAACGACTAGTTTTACCATGGTTTTACTGTGCTTTGGTTGCACGTTTCTTGTCTTGACAAACATTCATATAAATTGTAACCTGACCTTTGCTTATTGCAAGTCTGCAATAAACGTGTAACTTTCTACGCATACTCGACGGAATAGCAGTGAATGGAGAGTGATCGATACTTTTTCTAAAATGCACTCGTGACAAAATGTAAATGCAAACAGAAATACACTTTCCCCTATTGTCTTTACCAATTTTGCTATGCTAACCGGTAACGTGTGCGTGTGTATACAGCAAAATTACGCCAGGTTTCATAGCGAGTATCGCGGAAGCATGCATTGCACGATTGTAAAATGGAGCAAAAAGATTCTTGCCAACTTTATAATTACATGCAGCCAAAAATCAGAAATGTTTAGAAGTTCGTTGATAATATTTCTTCATGTGATTGGTATGCTATCAGCTGTCAGTATTAGTTTCAATGTGACCATCGTAAACCTTTACGCTACAACTGATCCCACCTACGGTTACGCCACCATGGCCCCCGCAATCCGCGTTATCAATACGATGCTTGCCGACGAATTTGCCTGTATTATGCATGTCAAACGATATGAACTAGATCTGGCCAACAACTGTCCCCAAGCATTTCGGGATGTCCGCAGTGTCGCGTGCATAATCGACAAACTTGGAGCATTTTACAGCAACGTTCTCCATCACGGTTTCGGCAGTAATCCCGAACAGTTTGTGGTATTGACTCTTGGAGGCACGTCTTTAGGCGTACAAAATTACAGTGCTTTTCCACGCAATAGTTTGTCTTATAAGTTTGCAACAAGGGGTAAATTCTTTTCCAGGATGGGATGACTACATTACGTCGGAAGTTGCCCGTTTCGCATCTGGTATGTACATGCACTTACGATTAGGATATATCTAATGGTAAGTTCGGTCATGGTTTGATTATTGCCAATTATTTTAATACCTGTGCTTGTGCCTTGGTTACAAGAACTGCCAAAACGAATTAGCTTTGTTACTACCCGCCCAAAATTTTGAATATACTGTAAGTGTCAACTGTGTCTGTGCCTTGTGGCCACTTTTATGGCACAGGCGTTTCTGATAACTCTAATCTGGCAGCTGCCAGCGGTATCGTCTGCAGCTTACTTGTTCACAGTTAGATAATATTCGCAAGGCACATGATCAAATGTAAATTACACAAAATGATACAGTTATTCGATTACGATGCAATGGATAATTTGTAAACTGATACTGAAAATTTGGACTTGATGTAATTGCTGTACTGCAAACGTGCCGGTGGAAGGGCGTTTGAACGTACTGTATCCTGCTTCCAAAAAGAATTTTAATTTCCTGAGTATTTTCTCTGATATTTCCGACCGATTGTTAAGGGATCTGAGTACACACAGGTACTTTGAAAAGTTGCTTAATTATACTATCTCGAGGCTCGGACAGGAAGTTTTTGAACTTTCCCACGCGGAATGCCAAACGGATTGGGTTGGTCTAGTTTAACCTAAGCATCATAAATCACATGTCACTGCATGCAAATGTATGCATTTCAATAATAACGTAATGTCAGCGAAGGTTTGCCGGGAGCGGGGGATACGGTGCACATTATTGCAGTCGCATCCTGCATATGAAATCAGTTTACATTTACTGCTGAAGTATGCAGTATGTAGAATGCCGTTTGCCATGAGTGCGATTTCGGAACGGAAGTAATCGCGGGTACTTATGTTTTAATAATGCCATCCTGAAAAGCTACTCGGACTTACGCCTCACATTGTAAAACCGTATATATGTAGATATAACATACGTAATTTAAGAAATCAAATGGGGAAAAACGACCTGTGTGTATCTATGGACCGGTGTATGTAACTCGTATCTACGGACTGATGCTTAGCGTCACTCTTTCAAGCACTGGTATATGTAATTATGTGCGTTTTGGCAAGTTACTGTGTTCTCTGACTAATTTTTTCCTTGACGATACCTCGGCAGCTGTGTATTGATTGTCCCTTCAAATATTGTGGAGGGATTTAAAGCAGATGTTAAACGATTGAACGGGGTCAGGTCAAGCAATTTACGTTAGCACAACGACTTCCAGATAGGTTTCTGGTTCGATCGGGATATGCTAAAAAATACAGCAAGGTGGTCTTGATAACTAAGCCCACGTTGGGGCATTTAGTTATCAAACCAAATAAGTACTGATGTCTTTTATTGCGGCAACATTTTCTGGCCGCTATTTTATTATCACTACCATGTTTGTCACTGACCTTACGCGGCAATGTTACGCTGATTATCGCCATCACCACGAATGACGACACGTGTGGCTACGCGACTATGAAGCCCGCGTACGACGTTGTCTTCGAGATGTTACTCGAGAGATATGCGAGTTTCCGGGATGTAAGGCGACTGATGGCGACATCGGTTAATACCACTTCTGTATCGGATTTCACCATGGGATGCGAAGACTCAGCCGGAAGTGCCATTAATACTCTCGGTAGATTGTATGGAAATGAATTCATCGACCCCACAGAATCGCTAACTGTTCTTATAAGCAGCGGTATGGGTGCATTGCTTGTGAAAATCAAAATATGAAAACGTGTGACAGTAAAAAAGGATCAAATAATACATGCATATGACCATTTGTACTGTTCGCAGAATGGTGTGAAATTTCTGGGATGGATATGGCAAGATTCACTGCAGGTTCGGCTCTGTCGAGAAAAACGCGGAAAATAGTTTAATGTATATTAACCCCAAAAAACTTGCGCAAGAAATTTAAACACCTGATAATTTAGATATTTTATACCGTCGTTTATAAGTATACAGTACACAATGATAATTGTACAATATACAGTACATACAGTACTTACCCTTTTCTCTACGAACACCGCTGTTCGCTGTGGTCGAAATAACCGGACTATCGCGTAAGCAAACATTATGCAGTTTTCACCGTTACACTTCAAGAAATGCGAATCTCCGAAGCATGAACTCATTTTGAAATTCAAAACCGGCTTGAACAAACAGCGACCTATGGTCTGGAGTGCTGCTTATGCAGGATCTCTTTACTGCTCAGGATGATCGGAACATGAGAGCCCGCGCATTTACTTCGTGAAGTTATAGCGCCAGTAAGGATAGAATAGGCTCTTCGCAGATATGGGACAAACACGGCTTCGATACCAGAATTATGTGCGTTAAGATGAATGTTGAACAAATTGCAAGTTGAAGAGAATACTGAAAGCTGTGAATGGAAGGGAAGTTCCTCAAATTTGCATTTTTAGATAGCAATTAGAACGTGTAAGTGGGTGCATGAAAACTGTAAAGTTTTTACGAACTGTGAATAAAGAGAAGCAGTTCGCTAGCAGAACCTTGCCCTTTCCGACATGCTTCGGTGTTGAGCAGTTCCGAAAAGAGCAGTGCGTGCGATTGAGGCTTTGAACAGAAGAAGGACGACTGGCGAGTAGTGGTAATTAGCTGCAACGGCCCATTTTTCTGGCACTGCGTGACTTGCCTCTTGCATTATTATAAGGAGAATGTCGGTTTTTATAAAGCGTAATTTCTCCGTAAATTGAAATTTGGTCGTTATGTCGAAATGTTATCTTGAAATGCTAACGTTAACTTGAAATTTTAAATTCAATCTGCTATACCAGTACGTAAAAAGAGTTGTGCAG